AATGAATAAATTTGTTTTAACTTCAAATAAGGTAAATAACGATAGATATGCCAAAGCCTGTTGCCATCAAGTCAATTCTGAGTCATTGTGACCCCACGTGTTACAGAGTAGAACTGTTCCATAAGGTTTTCTTGGCTATAATCGTTACGGAAGCAGATTGCCAGGCCTTTCTTCCACAGCACTACTGGGTGGGTTTGGACCAGCAACCTTTAGGTTAGTAGTTGAGTGCAAACCATTTGTGCCACCTAGAGAACTCCACAGATATAAGCTATATAAACAATACTCTTTAGGGTCCTCAGTAATTAGAGTGTAAAAGATCCTGAGACCAAAAAGTTTCAAAACAGCTGATATAAAGGGTACTGTGGGATCTGGAGATGGACAGCCTAAATTCCAATTGCAGTTCTGTCACTTACCCGACTCCAAGTTATTTAATTGCAGACTCTGAAGTCAGGCTATCTGGGTTCATAATTGTTGTTCCACCACTTCCTGGTAGTGTGGCTTTGGGTGAGTCATTCTATCTCTGTAAATAGGAATAACAATAGTACCTACTTCATCAGGTTGCTGTGAGGAGTAAATGGCACACTTGCAAAATGCGTACAAGGTAACTAGAACATTGTAAGAACTCAGTAAATAAACCTGTTGCCGTCCAGTTGATTCCAACTCATAGCGACCCTATAGAACAGGGTAGAACTGCCCCATAGGGTTTCCAAGGAGCGGCTGGTAGATTCGAACTGCCGACCTTTTGGCTGGCAGCTGTAGCTCTGAACCGCTGCGCCACAGGGCCCCCAGTGAATATTAAAAACCATAATTAATCTATGATATTAGCTAGTCATTTAACAGGGTCCTAGAGAATGGGACACAGTCCTGGCTCTCCTCATGCTCTCCACAGAAAAACAGAAGCTATAAATTTGAGGGGAAGGTATAAGTAAACGTGTGGATATTTGTGTATGGCTGTTAATCTGTAACAGAATTAATGTGTTATAAAAATTTTCCTCTTTGACTTTCCTTTTTCTCTGTTTATAAAGAAAGAACAAATAAGACTGTAAACATTCCTGAACACTTGCCCTAAAATCTATTTAGAAAATAGGAAAGCCTCTTGTTTAATACCCAAAGGAATAGAGATCTCTAGAAAACGAGATACTCAGGAGAGCTGAGCAGGGCTCAGCATCATGACCATGAGAAACTCCTTTAAACTTTTCGCCTCAGTTATGCCATCTTTGGACAAGAACATTTCGTCTCCAATCTTCCTTGCAGATTTTAAATCCTGTCAAGTCCACTTCTACATCTTTTAGGGATACCTTTTCACAGCCTCTAAGCGGCATACAACAATAACAACAAAGTCCTAATACACACAAAGGGGAGGAGCAAAGCCCCTAGATGAAGCGAATCCTTGATTCTGTCTTCCTTTCCTTTTTACCTTGCAAATGCCAACTGTATCCGTTCACCTCAGCACCCAGAAGCGGGGGTCTGGACCGAGGTGGTGGCTGCCAGCGCCCTACCACCCTAATCCCTCCTTTTCAACCACCAGGGACGCACATCCGCCTGTCTCCCATGGGTTACAGCATCATCCCTGGCCCATCAGTAAGGTTAGCCAGAATGCCACCGGTGGCAGGAGACCTGTTATCCCATCTGTTAAGTGAGAAGGCTAGACTGGTTGATCTGGAAGAACCTTCTTTCACTGAAATTCGATATGCTACCTTACACTATAAGGTCTTCATCCCCATTCCTGCTTTTTAAAGACCTCGGGCTTCAGATGCGCTTTGGCTCGCAGGCGCGGGCACTTGCACCTTACCACCCGCTAGCTTTGCGCTCCGGCTCCCTGCCCGCAGGGAGGAGCCATATCTCGCGCGACTCTCTCAACCTCTCGCGACATTCCCGCCAGTCCCCCGGCGGCTCTC